TCCCTCAAAAAGAAAAAGGATGAACAAAAATCAAGTGGTATCATCTCCTTAGTACACCTTACTAAAGGTTTTAGCTCACGCCGACTGCTTCAGTGATTCCATCCAGCCCCCTCATTCTTTGTCGTCCCCTTCTTCTTTTGCCCTCAATCTTTCCCAGCATTAGGCTCTTCTCCAGGGAGTTGAGCTACTCTACTCTACTCTACTCTACTCTACTTACTCTACTCACTCTACTCTCTCTACTCTACTTACTCTACTCTACTCTACTCACTCTACTCTTACTCTACTCTACACTACTCTACTCACTCTACTCAACTCTACTCACTCTACTCTACTTACTCTACTCACTCTACTCTACTCACTCTACTCTATTCACTCTACTCACTCTACTTACTCTACACTACACTACTCTACTCACTCTACTCTACTTACTCTACTCTACTCACTCTACTCTACTTACTCTACTCACTCTACTCTCTCTACTCTACTTACTCTACTCACTCTACTCTTACTCTACTCTACACTACTCTACTCACTCTACTCTACTCTACTCACTCTACTCTACTCTATTCTTTTGCATTCTTTCTTTAACGATTCTATTCCATGATCTCTTTAATATTAGTGTAACTCTCATCCTGCAGAGAATTGGCCATGGCAAATTATCATAGACCCTACTATCAGTGCTGTCTTTGCTTCCTTTTGCCAGTTGTTCTGTTTCTATTTCAGGTCTTTGTATTTAGTGATCTTCTCCAGCTCCATCTCTTCTATTTTGCTTTCTCCAGGGATTGCCACTAGATTATTTTTGGTCTTTCTTATTGACAATTGTTATGTTATGTGGGAGGTGCTGGTTTGTTTGAATTCTGAAGTCCCATATAAGAAATAAAGCTTCTTTATTTTCTGTGTCTTTCTCTATTTTATAACCCACCAGTTCTTGCTTGCAGGCAAATGATATTGGTTGCAGATCTTCCAGTGTGCCATTGTTACTACTTAGTCATGCTGTTACGTGTAGTCTGTGCAATCTTCCTGCAGCAGCTATTATTATTTGGATTATCATTGTGATTTCCATTTTATTGGAACTTTCCTGGAACCATAAATTGCAGCAGGGAGGCATATACAGTATATATCCATACATTTTTTTTAGGTTTAAATAAATTGGAACATTAAAAATAGCACACTGCAGGAAGCGAATAGTATTTTTTCTATCATAGATACAGTACTGTACATGTAAGTGTAAAATCTTCATGGAACATTGGCGACATCTAGTGGCGGTGTTAGGTATTCCTGGAAAATGAGAAATTTATGTTGTCTCTAGGAAAATAAACTACTATTAGTGGAAGGAATAAGAAGAAACACATTGGATTTACTCATATGGGGCATTTTTATGACAAAAAGCTGTGACTACAAAATGGTGCTGGTTGCAGGAGAAATAAGTAATAGTCGGTCTATTCTACTGAAAGCATCAGATAAGTCTAGCTTACTCCTTGGGTAAGTATCTAAAGTACAAAGGACCACAAAATAGTCTTATCAAAGGATTAGGATCACAGATTGAGCTAAATTCAGAAAGATTTAGTGCCCTAGCCGGTGGTGCGATCCTGCCAGTTTAATAACTGGTTTGGTGATCGCATGCACGCACAGTTTTAAGAAAACGTACCTGCCACGTTACATCTGGGGAGTAACACAGCTGGGGTGCGAGATTCCACTCTGCCGCATGAATCAGCTGAGAGGATATAAGTAAGTAAAGTGCAGGGACGGGTGAGCAGGCCAAACTGATTTTTTTGGAGCGAACCGATTCGCTCTCAGCTGATCATCGGAGCTAACGGTTCGCCTAAACCGGTCCGAACCGGCTGAATCCCGGCAAGGGCCAAAGGTGTCAAACTCACGTTGTCATGCCGGTGTCACCTGATGTATCACGACTTTCCCCTCCTTTCACTAAATGGGGTGTGGGCGTGGCCAGCATGTGACACATCTGGCCCACAGGGTGGGAGTTTGACAGCCCTGTCTTAGCTCTGCCGAGAATCTAGTCAACTAATGGTCAGCATTAAATTAGCACGGGGAATTCAAGGTGGCTAGATTTAAATTTCATGACAACACAGAGACTCTAAACTGATGATGCCTTTAATACTACCAGCTCTGCTTGCACCCAAGGAGTCCTTGGTGCTCTCGGAGCTTGTTTTCTTGAGTTTATTACCTTGTTTGCTAATGAAATGTCTACAAGAAAACAGCCGAAGAGCACTAAGGATCCCAGAGTATTCCTCCTTCACTCCACAAAACCCCACTCCCTTCTAGCACTGATGATGTTACCTAGCTTGGTAATGAAACATCTGAAACAACTCAGATTCGGACAGTGAGGAGGTTGGGGAGGGACATGGGCCAGTCCTGGAGTCTGGGGAAGGCTCGGACGAGGGCTCTGTGTCAGAGGCAGAGAGGGGGACCAGAGTTGTCTGGCAGTTATCAGCTGCCTTCAGAATCAGACATCAGTGAGGCAGATGAACAGCTGGAGCATGTTCCCATTGTGTGCATGCGCAGAGTTGCCAGATGAAGGGAAGAGCTAAAGAACAGGGGTTGACTTGGGAGTATGGCCACAGGTGGGTGTGAATGGCCCCTCCCAGAGGAGCGAAAGGGGAGTGGAGTTTGCAGGAGACAATTAGTTCACTTAATTGGTTCGTGACACTGAGACTCCTTAGCAAGTTTTGCAGATATCAGCCTGGCAGCTCTCCAAGCCAGATAAGGTCTGTGATCATAAATCCTCCCTTGAAAGACTTTTGCTGGATGTGAATGTGTAGAATTCACAGTCAGAGTTTTTTTGTCAGGACAAGGAGTTTGCCTTGTGGTTTGGAGAAGCCTAGGTCAGAATAGTCACAGCCTTGACACCCAGCACTGATGAGGTTACCTAGTGTGGTAACGAAACATCAGCAAGAAAACAGCCAAGCTCAGAGAACACCACGGAACCAGTTGGTAGTTTGATTTCTTGGGAGGGTTTGTTTGCTATTCATCTGGATCGTAGATTGAATTAAATAGCAGAGAATAATTATAAGAACAAGGAACAGTCGTTGTGTGGAGGCGGAAGTGTCTTTGGTCTCCCACACATCAAAACAAACAGGTACAGGTGTGCTTCGTGGCAACAATTAGCACCTTCCAGTCACAACTGCATTTGCCAAAATCATACAACGCCTCCTTCACGCTGCCTTGCAAGATTCTTCTGCTGGATAATGGCCACATCTGACATTTCCTGATTCGGCCAATTAGTTGTCCCAATTAATTGGGCCACGGGAAGAAAGGAGCAACACAATTTTTCTACCAAGTCTGTCTTGTACGGCAGAAGAATGATTTGGTGAACTGAGCAGAATCCGGTCACAGATATTTGGGAAGTCTAGTTTTGACAGATGAAGGGAGTTGGCAGGGACCTTGTAGGCCTAGTTCAACCCCCCCACCCACCCAAGCAGGAGACCCTACACCATTTCTGACAGATTTGCAGTCCAGTCTCTTCTTGAAAGCCTCCAGTGATGAAACTCCCACCATCTTCTGAAGGCAACGTTTGTTCCGTGGGTTGATTGCTCTCACTGTTGGAAAATTTCTCCTTATTTCCAGGTTGAATCTCTCCTTGATCAGTTTCCATCCGTTATTCCTTGTCTGCCCTTCGGGTGCTTTGGAAAATAGCTTCACCTGAATCCTTTCTGTGGCAGCCCCTCAAATATTGGAAGATTGCTATCCTGTCTCCCTGGTCCTTCTCTTCACTAGACTAGACATACCCAGTTCCTGTAATCGTTCCTCATATATTTTATTTTCCAGTCCCGTCAACATCCTGGTTGCTCTTCTCTGTACTTCTCAGAACTCTTATGAGAAACTCTTCGCCAGGTGGGCAAAAGGGATGTGTACCTTCGCATGAGGAATTGGATAGGTTTTCACCAGAGGTGGTATTCAGCAGGTTCCCACCCATCATCCCCCACCCTTTGGCCTCTGCCTCCCAGCAATTTGCCTCCTTGCAGCAAACAGAGAAAATGGGGCTCGCAGAGGCTGCAACAGGCTATGGAAATCCTTGCAGCCTGAAACAGCTGATGATCAGGAGGCGCTTAAACTGAAAGTGAAACTGGCTGTTTGCTCCAGGAGGCAAATAGCTGGGAGGCAGAGGCAGATTTTTTTCCCTTGTGCTAATCAGGCTGTTTACTGCAAGGAGGTAAATAGCAATAGCAATAGCAGTAGACTTATATACCGCTTCATAGGCCTTTCAGGCCTCTCTAAGCGGTTTACAGAGAGTCAGCATATTGCCCCCAANTTTTGTTTCTAGTATCTTAGGAGACCAAGTTAATCAATATTAACTTTTGTGATCATATATTATTAACAGACATTCCTGTTATTCTATTAAGATTTCATCTGTATATATAAAATGTCTCTCTGTGTGTGTGCGTGTGGGTGTGTGTGTGTTCCAGCATAAATCTGGAACGCCTCAAGCAATTTCAACCACACTTGGTACACAGATGACTTACTCTCTGGAGAAAAAAATACTGTGGGGGTAAGGCACCCCTAACATCCCTTCGGGGTGTGTATTCTGTTAAGATGCAGCCTGTTGTGCCTTTAAATGGCTTCTACTGTACTGCTGCAAAATGGCTTCTACTGTACAGCACAGTGGAGCTGCCATGGTAATACTCCACGAGGGGTACTCCACGAGGGGGCTCCCTCTGGTAAGGGGAGAAAATCTAACATTTGTTCCGAACATTTCCCCCCCTATAAATAAATACTCGGGCTATCGACTAGTTTATTATAAATGATATTGAGCAATGAAATATTAAAGGCTGACATAATATTGCATCGTGAATTTTTTATTTTATTTTAACAGAACGATGTCCAGTTGAAAAGAAGGCTTATATCCGACTGTCCTATGGCTGGGAGGAAAATGTCAGCTACGAATAATTTTCTCTCTCTTGGTATATTTGTGATAACCTTATGGAATTTCACCCGCTCAGCCGCAGAAAGTGGATTTATAGCAAACTACTCAAAGAGTTCTCTGTTTGCTGTTCCCAATGATTTATCAACGCAAACCACAGTTCTGGACCTGTCCGCTAACAGTATATATAAATTGGAAATCTCTCATTTCCGTTCCCTTCCCAGCTTGCGAGTGCTAATTCTGTCTCACAATTCTATCAGAGAATTGGATTTTGGGGTTTTTCGGCACAACAATGTCTTAGAGCACCTTGACGTATCTCACAACGCACTAAGGGATGTTTCCGGTTTTCCTGTTAAAAGTCTCAAGCATCTAGATCTCGCTTACAATGACTTTGCCGCCATCCCATTCTTCCCCAAAACGACAAAGCTGAAGTATTTTGGAATTAGCGCAAGAAACCTTTCGAAGGACAACGCTCTTGTGCCTTTACAACTGGACACGCTGTTTCTGGACTTAGAAAATCTTGATGAATACAGGCCAGGAAGTTTTCTAGCGTTCGACGCAAAGACCGTTCGGATTGTGCTCCCTCGAAACGCAAAGCTTCGCATCCTCCCGGATCTGCGGCTCAACGGTACAGAAAGTTTAGAACTTTCTAAGATCCCCTTGGCGCAAGCGGAAGACTTAAGAACATTTCTGGCGAGGCTGGATGAAAAAAGCACATTGGTAAATCTAACCATCGTTGATACGAAATTCAGTTGGAGAGACCTCGCTGGCACCTTTAATGGAGTGGGGAAATCCAGCATTAATCATTTAACCGTTTTATACCCAACCATTACTACATTCGACGCGGGCCCTTTTAAAAATGCCGCTCCCGCATTGAAAAGTTTAACCATCCAATATGTACTTCTTGACACGGCAACATTTGACCAAAGCATTGCGTACTCAACTTTTGCAAACTTGAACATTGACAGCTTTACTATTTCTGATTCTGGCATATTATATGTATATTGTCCTGAAACACCCAGTAGGTTTAAGTATTTAAATTTTAAAAACAACACGTTGACTGACACTATGTTAAAAGGTTGCAAAAACTTAACTCTGCTGCAAACGCTCATTTTACAAAAAAATAGGCTCGAGGACCTTACCAAAGTCAGCTTCATGACAACGAGCATGACGTCTCTGAGTTATATGGACGTAAGTCAGAATCAGTTGTACTACAAAGACGGGGAAAGCCAATGCAACTGGGGGGAACGCATAACTAAGCTGAACCTGTCATCCAATAAGTTAACAGACGCCGTCTTTAGGTGTTTACCGAACAAGATCCAAATGTTGGATTTACACAGTAATCAGATTTCAGCCGTGCCGAAAGACATCGTGGCCCTGACGGCTTTAAAGGAGTTAAATTTGGCTTCGAACAGACTCGGTGCCTTTCCCGGATGCGGCCATTTTGGAAACCTTCAGGTGCTTAACGTCGAAAATAATTTCATCCTCGACCAGTTTTCTGAATTCTTCCACACCTGTCGGAATATTCGAAGGTTAAAAGGGGGACGGAATCCCTTTGGGTGCCACTGCGAATTAAGGCAGCTCATCAATCTTCAGAAACAAGAATCGGTGGCCTTAGTTGGCTGGCCTGAGGCTTATTGGTGTGAATATCCCAGCGATTTAAGGGGGACTCTCTTAAAAGACTTCCGCATTTCTGAACTTGAGTGCAACGTGGCTCTCTTGATTACCGTCGTTTTAGCAGTTTCCCTGTTCGTAATCGCTGTCGTCGCCTTCCTCTGCATCCGCTTCGACCTTCCTTGGTATTTCAGGATGATGTGTCGTTGGAGCCGGGTGAAACACCGGATCTGGAAGAATAAATCGGAAGAGATCCCCGAGAGCATCCAGTACCACGCGTTTGTCTCCTACAGCGAGCATGACGCCAATTGGGTCAAAACGGAGCTGATCCCCAACCTGGAGAAGGAAGAAGGGTCCCTAAGGATCTGCCAACACGAGAGGAATTTCATTCCAGGGAAAAGCATCGTGGAGAACATCATCGACTGCATTGAGAAAAGTTACAAGTCCATCTTCGTGCTGTCTCCCAATTTCGTGCAGAGCGAATGGTGTCACTACGAGCTGTATTTCGCTCACCACAAGTTATTCAGCGAAAACGCCGACGGTTTAATTCTGATTTTGTTGGAGTCCATACCGGCCTACATCATCCCTGCCAGGTACTACAAACTCAAAGCTCTCATGGCCAAGAGGACCTACTTGGAATGGCCAGAAGACAAAAGGAAGCATGCATTTTTCTGGACTAATCTTAGGGCAGCTCTTCAGGTTAAGTTGGCCAACCCTGAAGAAATGAAAGAGCTCTAAGGGAAGAATGCCAACGGTCAAACACTTCGGTGTTCATCGGTTTTTTAATTATAGAAAAAATAGCTTTGGGTAGCGTAGTTACAAAAACCAAGTTCTCTTTTGGGCTGTGACTTAAAGAGAGGTGAGGAAAGGTAAAGGTTTCCCTCGCACATACGTGCTAGTCGTTCCCGACTCTAGGGGGCAGTGCTCATCTCCGTTTCAAAGCCGAAGAGCCAGCGCTGTCTGAAGACGTGGAAAGCTGTCCCCTTCCCACCAAAGGTGGTTCCTATTTTTCTGCTTGCTTTTTTTACATGCTTTTGAACTGCTAGGTTGACAGAAGTTGGGACAAGTAACGGGAGCTCACTCCGTTACGCGACGCCAGGGATTCGAACCGTCGAACTGCCTTTTCTGGTCGACAAGCTCAGCATCTTAGCCATTGAGCCACCACGTCCTGAAGGGAGGAAGGATGTCTAACTCAACTTTA